GGTAACCTGAATGCATTCCACTTGCTATCCCCAGCCAATGTGCCTTCGGCCAATGGTCTGAACAAAACCAGTATGCATGCAACTGTGGGTGCAATCTGTGACCCTGCCATTTATTTGCAGGATTCCCAGCTGCACAGAGAGATGTGCCATTCACACGTTGCAATTTATAGGCATAATCCACACCTTCAGTTGAACAAGTGAGGACCAAGAAGGTGGGATCCAGATCCTCATACCCACGCGATGGCTGATAGGAAATGTTCGGTTCACATTTCTGCATTGAGCTTGTAAATTTCCGTTTCGTCCTCCTGAAAATTCGTCAACATTCTAGTGTGCGTATCTCGGCACATTCACACTATTACGCAGCTTTGCCCAATATACATCTTTGCAATTCATGTAATGAATTGTGTTTGTTATTTTCACATACTTGTGCAATTTTCTCGGGGCTGTGATGTGGGGGTGGATAGTTCTTTGGGGATGTGCAGGCTCAGAGGTGACTGACTCATGAGATTTCAATTCCGTGATCATTGACAAGCTCTAGGTCAGGTCCGACCATGATCCTGGAGTCTTGGCCTGCACCAAACACCTCTGCCTCCAATACTGTTGGTCTAGCTACCTCAATGACCTTTCCTTGTTGCAGTCAGAGTCCGGGCTCTTGCTCAGGGTGGGGTTCATGGCACAATATTGTAGACATGTGAAGACTTGGCAGAGGAGTTTCAGTCCGAAGAGTCTTCCCCTCCACTCTTACTGACATCCTTACTGACACTTACTGACATCCTTTTAACTGGGGATGCCAGGGATTGAACCCAGAAACGTCAACCCCTGGGCCATAGCTTCTCCCAAATGGATTGGGGAGCGACTGTCAATTAAAGTATTTAGTATCAGATAAGAGGAACCAATATGTAAGGCATTCAGGCAAAGGACAGGTAGAGGGAAACCATACATCTAGATGTGCAGAGAGAGACCCAAGCCGTCTCCCCACACTGACAAGATACAGGGGCAGACTTTGGTAATCTTTCATAATATAGTGCCCTGTGTGAAGCCAAAATCTGGCGTCCCCCAATGGATCTTCTCAGTTATGGATCTTCTCAATTTTGCGCCCCCTCGGCTCAGCGCCCTGTGCAAAGGAACTGCCCATCCTCCCTAAATCCGGCGCTGCCAGACTGAAGGAAGTTTTAAAGCTCGCCATTGAACCAGACTGGCCTGCCAGCATCATCTGACTTCCCAGGCCAAGAGGATTCTGGGTCTCTTGTAAATTCCTAGCCAAAATGAACTGTAATTCCCAGTGTCTGATCCACAGAATTCCCAGTCTGCAGTCCTGCCATGCCCAATATAATGGTTTGAAATGGACTACAGATTGATGGCTCAATCCCTGATTAAAGCTAGGAAAAGTTCCAACCTACCTCACAACAATTACGGTAACTTTTTTTTTTAAAGTTGCCTTCCATGAGCATTGGGGAAAGGATATGCTATGCATCAAGAAATAAAAACTGACCAAAATGGCAGCTCTACAGACAGTGCTCGTGGGTTTTTGTATAATTATCAGTAGCTGTATTTTACTGAGCAAGAAACTGATGAACGCATATGATAATTGTGTAATACGCCATAACATCCTGATTTTTATTGCAGAGGAAGAATGTGCTCTTGACAGAAACAAGAGATTAATTCCAGTTACCGTGGGCCTCAGTCTCGCAGGATTATTTGTCATTGTCTTTGCCACCTGTGCGATTTACAGAAGAAAGCGCACCTCAAGCTATGAACGAATCTAAACCACTTCATTAAAGCTCTGTGCAGCAGCAAGTGAAAAGGTTGTAGATAATGGAACGCTCTGCTTCTGCCTACTTATTTGATTGTGGCAACTACAATTGTAAACTGTTTGTGTTGTGTATTTACTTGTGTGCACTTGAAAATTTACACTATTATGTTGTTATTTCTATATTCATAACTTGCCTTTCTGCTTAGACAAGAGCAGTTTTATATATATATATATATATATATATATATATATATATATAGGGCTACGACCTTTAAGGAGGACGCAGCAGATTTTTACAATATTTTTTACAAAAGCATTTCCCCTTCTCTCATACAACAGGGAATGCTTCCATTCTATCTTGTCTCATCTATAAACTAAGGGTGTATGCTTTTTGCTTCAAACTATGGTTGTTTTTACTCATATGCAAATATAATTAAATTAATAAATTAACCAACTAAAATTTCTTTAATTGTGTCCTATCCCTAATAAGAATAATCTCTTTTTCCTCTATCTTTCACACATACAGAAACATATACACATCTCACCCACATCTCTGTCTTAGGCCAGAGCGGATCTGGGAGAGCCAGAACAGAAAATGGTCCAGGGAGCCCAGTTTTTACACCCTTCTGGACAAAGGCCTCAAAAGAAAATCCCAGCACAGCTTTGATTAAGGAGGTGCCACTCCCCATTTCCTATACCTAGTATGAACTCATGTAGCCAGAGTGATGGGAATTTGTTTTTGTGGATGCAGGTGGTAGCATTTATTATTCAGATAGTTTGATTAGATCTAGATTTGAGCAATGTAAAGACACGCAACTATTTTTGGAATGCAATGACTGCATTGTGAAATTCTGTGCATATGACTTGCAACATCATTTCCATTGCAGGGACTCATTTAACACTTTCCCATCGGGTCTCCTGAAGCCTCTTTACCAAGAGAACCAAACAAAAGCCATTCTTATAATCATACACGCAAGACATAGTAGGGTGGAGTGTCTCCCAGGTTCGTAAGTCCCCCAGCATTACATGGAGCCACTGGCAGAGGAACAGGAGTGTGGAGGGAGCGGACCGCCCCCGGCAGCACTATTCCAGTAGGGTGGCATTGTGGCGGGGCCCCCGGACAAGCGCCGCCTACCCCCTTCACACACCAGGTGCCACGCCCCCACAGGCAGCGCGTCACGCCCCCAGAACGTGCGCCACACCCTTGCGGGTGGCGAGCCACACCCTTGCAGGAGGCATAGCACGCCCCCTGGGGGCGCCAGCCATGCCCCCACCTGCTCTTCACCCCCGGCAGTGGAGCATGCAGCTTTGCCACTGCTTGGAGCTTCCCAAAATGGTACATGGAGACTCCTCAGCTTTCTCTGGCCCTGGGAGCAGATCCTGTCTCCAGGCAACCGTAGGGGTTTGTCAGGGGTCACGTCATTTGGGCCCAAAAAAAGGCACACCAGGTGCAAGCAACCTTGCCAAAGAGTTCCCTCCCACCCCTAAAAGTGTTTGATAGATATGATTTCCATAGAGGAAAAAACAATTACTGCTACTTGTGAAGAGTGGCATAGTATCTGCTTTACTATTACAGGAGGCGTGAAAGTGCTATAAAATGTTACCATTGTGGGGAGGGGCATAATGACAAGAATATATTTTTAAAAATAATTGAAGACATTAGGGCTTAATTGATGCCTCAACGCCTTCCACATGTGCTGTGTCAGGAAGATTTTGGGTGTCACATGGCAAAACAGCCTGTGCTTTCCCAAGCCCACATTCCCAGCATGTTCTCACTCCTGTCTCAGCGACGTCTACGTTGGCTTGGTCGTGTCCGCAGAATAAAGATGGCAGGATCCCCAAGGATGTGCTCTAGGGGGAGCTGGCTTCAGGCAGCAGACCAGCTCTGCACTACAAATATGTAAATGCGCCATGAAGGTTGCCAACATCAACCTCGCTGTGTGGGAAACCCTTTCAGAGGACCACAGTGCCTGGAGTCAGAAAGTCAGGTTGTGCATCCACAGCAGCAACCACAGGAGGAATGACCACTGGGAGGAGCGCAGAGAGAAGAAATGTCACGATGCATCTGTAGCAGCACAACTGGGCGCCTTCATCTGCCCCAGGTGCAACAAAACATGTCTCTCCCATATCGGTCTCTACAGCCACAGCAGGCGCTGCAACCTTCCAACAGTTTGACTTCACTCCCAAATGTGCACTTCTCCATTGTCTCCAGAGACAGGCGAATGTAAACAACTGACGTTATGTAACCCTATTCATATAAAAGGTCATTGGGGTTTTGTTTTTTAGGGTTGCAAGGATCTCATCAACTGGGACATTCCTAATTTCTTCACAGCTTTCCCCGCCCTCAGCTGTTTACAGTGTCTTCTTGTTTGGAATCTTGGCTTCCACATGATCATATGTGTCAGAGCTCACAAGGGATGCATTTTCTATGGTGCTTGCCTCAAATGCAAACCATCAGTTTATGAAGAAGCCCGGCTGATAGCTAAACAATTTCAGAAAAAGGAATGATAGGGGAATTAACCTTACTAGATATTGTAGACAAGCTGTATGTAAAATGTGAAAATTCTAACTCCTCCCTCCCTCATGTGCCTAATTAAAATGGCACCACCAGCGTATTCATTACATTACCACCAGTGTATTCAATACATTTAATGTATTTTTAATCTTTGTTGGAAGCCGCCCAGAGTGGCTGGGGAAACCCAGCCAGATGGGTGGAGTACAAATAATAAATAATAATAATAATTATTATTATTATTATTATTATTACTACAGAGTAACAAGCAAAAAGAACAGGTCTCCGCCCTGAGAAGATTACAATCTAAAATTCAACAGAGAGAGGCTATTTACAATTACAGGTGCCACATAATACTCATTCCACAGGGGTAAGAAATTGATATTTTAGTGTGGCAGCAGCTACACTTTGGAACTCCCTGCCTCCTGACATTGCCATCAAGTGCTCCTACAGAAGGAAGGGTAGGATGTAAATTCAATAAAAGCTGAGGCTTTTGCTCCTTAGCTGTGAAGATACATGGCAAAATTGCATGTCACAGTACTTAATCAATTATCACTTAAGTGTATGGTAAAGAAGGCAGTGTCCTGTGACTCTTGTCTGACTGAAGCATAATAAATGCATTATACAGTTTATTTCTGATTTTGGGTTAAGTAGCAGAGCCAATAATTTTGACAAAAACATAATTCAGAGATCATCCTTGAAACACTGTTCTTTGTTTATAAGAGAAATGCTTACCAAAATTGGTGGAGTCCTTTTCCTTGAGCCCTCCTTTCTCTGAAGGTAGAATATTCTCCATTCCTGTAGCAATACGTCAAATTTATTTTGGCATTAGAGACATTTTAAAGGCATGCAAATATTCAGCCCCATGAACAGGACTACTAATTCCCATAGATAGGGAGAGAAAATAGTTTCCTAATCACACTAAAATATGTGTATATGTTCTTCGGTATCTGAAGAAGTGTGCATGCACACGAAAGCTCATACCAAGAACTAACTTAGTTGGTCTTTAAGGTGCTACTGGAAGGAATTTTTTGTTTTGACTAAAATATGTGTCGTCCTGTTAGTAAAAACTCCTATGTATTGGCTCATTAAAAACAACAACACTCTCTTGTGGTTTTTTTTTAATTAAAGCTTAATGAGAACAAATTCTTGTGATGATTCACATTATTAAGCTGCATATTGTTATTTTCTAATCTAAATAGACAAGTAACTTCTACACACGTTAAATGCTATTTAGCAACCTCTTTTTCAGCAAAACTCAGCATTGCTTTCCAAGACTGCTAAATGATTACATAGGTTGCCACCTAGTGTACAGAAGCACATATTACCCAGTCACCAAAGAGCAATATTGAACTTGATCTGTTCTCTTTGGAACAATCCATGACCACTCAGTCACACCTACAGAATGGGGATAACTGACAAAGTTTTCGCTGGTTTGCATTTTGGGCAAACCTTGTCTAGTACGGTGCTTTCCTGTTTCTGCAATACTCTCCCCAGAGAGGCTCATCTGGCGCCTTCGTTGCATATATTTAGGTGCCAGGCAAAAACATTCCTATACTCCTGTATATCTCCAATATAAGTAGAAGCAGAGATTTCTTTTCACCAAAAATAAAAAAATATGCACAGGTTGCCTCAAATAAATATTTTATATTTCTATTTTATATACTATATTTTAATTCTCTTTCTTTTTCTTTCAAGTGCTCTGTTTCTGCCCATTGTCTTGTTGCCTTTGCATTTCTTTGCTTCTGGGAAATCGAGTAGATTAACGGCCTGCCCTTTAAAAAAATTATTTTTTAAAATATTAAATGTATACACTGCCCTCCATCCGAAGATTGCAGGAATTGTACTCTTTGCAAATGATACAACAGGGTACGTCCTTGGTTTTGACCGATAAACTTGTACAAGGCTGGGATGTGTGGGGAAACCAGGAAACATAGTTTGATGCTGACTAGCTTATAGTATTTTTCTTTTGTTAACAATCACTGGAAGGAACCCCGACCCTGCTATGCTGCCTTATTTTCTGCCTTATACACATTATGTGTATGTATATATATATATATATATATATATATATATACACGCGCGCGCGCGATTTTAGCTGTTCTTATTTTCATCTGTGAGCTGTCTTGAGTCCCCGACAGGTATTTATATGTGTTATAAATGAATATAGAATAATTATCATCATCTTCATTTGGCTTTGTACCTGGTGACCAAGACCCATTATTTGTTGTTTTCCGTTGTTTCATATTATTCTTACTATAACTTCTATATAGAAAGCTCGCTGGTAGATATATATTTCTCTTTTTTATTATTATTTTAAAAACCCCATAAACCACTCGCAGACAAATAACACGCGTTCGTGTTTCTGAGGTGGCCACACGCAACTCTCTGCCTCTCGGAGAGGCGACAGACCTTCGCCTTCGCCGCCTCAACCTGAGGCGGGAACGGAAGAATTCGTCCCCTCGGCCGGGAGAAGGGCGCTCCCACTTCCCGCGTCGTCGTCCTCCTCCTGGGGCCGCCCATGCCCTGCCTCCTCCCGGGCCTTCCTGATAGGCCCCTCCGCCGCCGCCGCCGCCGCGGCCCAGCCTCCCGTTCCCGCCCAGCCCACCTCCCTCTCAGCAGCCATGGCGGCCTCTGCTCTGGCGGCGGCGGAGTGGCGTCTCCAGGCCCTGCGGGGGCTGCAGTGCCCGTGAGTGCGGCTGGGCCCCGGCAGGGAGGACGGGGCGCGGAGCGGGAGAGGAAGAAGGGAGGCCCTGCAGGAATGGACGGGCAAGGCCGACGCCTCGGGGCCTCTTTGTGTTCGCGGGGAGGGGGGGGGGAAGCTGAGCCACAGCATCCCTCCCCCTCCCCGCTTTTCCTTCAGGGAAAGGGACGAGGCTTCACCCTGGGGCTCGGCGGCCCCAGAGAAGAGGGCGCCTCTGAGCACGTGCAGAGTGCATTTTTATTCCACCCTCCAGTCCTCAATAACAAGCAGGACACTCCCGCATGTCTTTCGTCCGAGGCAGAGTAGAGCACGGATACTTCCACTGTTAATTTCCACAAAATTGCTGGGTTGGGATGGGGGGTGGGTTATGTTTGTGTGCGAGGGGAATGGGAACTCTTCTGAATAATAATAATAATAATAATAATAATAATAATTTACTATTTATACCCTGCCCATCTGGCTGGGTTTCCCCAGCCACTCTGGGCCGCTTCCAGCAAAATATTAAAATACAAGAATGCATCAAATATTCTGAAAACAGTCCTCGCATTTAATAAGAAGCAGCTCTGGCTCCTTCGGATCTTCCAGATCTTGAAATAAATAAATACAGGTGTGCCAGGGCCAGATTTCACCTGACCAGCTGGCAGCTTGAAAGGGCATTGGAGGAATGTGTGTATGTTGTCCGGGAGGAAGCAAGATCTGTTTTTCTCAGGCAAAGTGTTATTCAAGAGGTATCGGAAGGAAATGTTTGAAAACTGATGAACAACTACTATAGATAGAAGAGGATTTACCCTACTTGACTATTTTGTGGACGGGCATAACAGGCATAGGCAAACTCAGCCCTCCAGATGTTTTGGGATTGCAACTCCCATCATCTCTAGCTAACAGGACCAGTGGTCAGGGATGATGGGAATTGTAGTCTCAAAACATCTGGAGGGCTGAGTTTGCCTATGCCTGGGTTATTGTTGTTGTTTAGTCGTTTAGTCGTGTCCGACTCTTTGTGACCCCATGGACCAGAGCACGCCAGGCACCTCTGTCCTCCACTGCCTCCCGCAGTTTGGTCAAACTCATGCTGGTGACCTCAAAAACACTATCCAACCATCTCGTCCTCTGTCGCCCCCTTCTCCTTGTGCCCTCCATCTTTCCCAGCACTAGGGTCTTTCCCAGGGAGTCTTCTCTTCTCATGAGGTGGCCAAAGTACTGGAGCCTCAGCTTCACGATCTGTCCTTCCAGTGAGCACTCAGGGCTGATTTCCTTCAGAATGGATGCGTTTGATCTTCTTGCAGTCCATGCCTGGGTTATAACATGTATAAAAGCCATAGCAGAAATTGCTAATTGAACAGGTGATGTGTAGGGGGGAGGGGGGATGAATGTATTTTGAAATGATAGCTGGAAAAGTTATTTTACTAGGAGCAGCAAAGGAAGGGGGAAAATAAATTATGGAAGATCAATAAAAATAACTGGCAAAAAAATGAAAGGGCATTGCTTCGTGGCAGCAGTGTTACTATAAGCGGTTTGCGTATGGAAAACCATAGGATCCCGGTGATGCTACAAAGCATTGCTGCCAATGAGTGGGTTAAGTTTTTGTGTTTTTGTCTGCAGAGGTTGGCTTGCATGGCAAACACGAGGATGGCATGGCTGCATGGAGCAGCTGGAAGAAGGGTGGTGGTGTTTGGGCGAAATGGAGCTTAGGGCTGTATTCTTATGTCGCTGGATTGGCATGGGTAAACAGTTCCTGTCCTCTGTAAAGAGAGCCAAGCAAATTCCTGCATTGCAGGGGGCTGGACTAGAGGACCCTCAGGGGTCCCTTCCCACTCTACAATTTCATGATTCTATATACTCTTCTAGGACACAATGGAGGAGGTTTTGTGGGATCAGGCCAGAGGCCCATCCAGTCCCACCATTGTGTCCTCACAGTAGCCAGCAGGTGCCTATGAGAAGCCCACAAGCAACATGAGCACAACAGCGCTCTTCACACCTGCCATTCCCAGCAATCTAGAGGTTTACTGCCTCCAACAGTGGCTAATATATTGTGGCTAATAGCCACTTATAACCTAATCCTCTGTGAATTGGTCTGAACTTCTTTTAAAGCTACCTGTTTGCTAGAAGGAACCAGACACCCCAAATGGCTCGTCTTTGTGGAAATTGTTGAATGGGTGTGGGATTTTGCCCTGGGATGGCCAGTCCGGTAACATGTGAATTCAAAACAACTAGGCAGGGGTGTAGTAGGACAAGGACCTAAGTAGCTGCACCCCGTAGGTGAGACAATATTGCAACCAAGCTTGGTGTGATGAGCCCCAAAACTGGTGTTCAGACATTTGATAAGGCAGCTCCCTGTGCTTCTAATTGTAATCATTATAGAGCTATAAAACATCAGGCATACTTTTTGAGATGGCATAAACAGTACAGTGGTACCTCGGGTTACATACACTTCAGGTTACATATGCTTCAGGTTATGGACTCCGCTAACCCAGAAATAGTACCTCGGGTTAAGAACTTTGCTTCAGAATGAGAACAGAAATCGTGCTCCGGTGGCACAGTGGCAGCAGGAGGCCCCATTAGCTAAAGTGGTTAAGTACAGTTTCAGGTTAAGAACGGACCTCCGGAACAAATTAAGCACTTAACCCGAGGTACCACTGTATTTCCAAATTTGGCCTCACCACAGAAAATGCAATGCAGCACTGACTGTCTTGTTTTCTGTCCTGGGGAAACCCAGCCAGATGGGCGGGGTATAAAGAATATTATTATTATTATTATTATTATTATTATTATTATGTGCTTCCTAGCCTGGAATTTCATACTTGATGCTGTATACTGAGCTGACATTTCTGTTGACTCCCGAGATTTCTCTTTTGGTTAGTTACCATCAGTTCAGACAACGCCATCAGCACATAGGTGAAGTTAGGTTTGTCGCTACGTCCATTACTTTACACTTAACTTACATGGAACCACACCTGACTCTTCTTCTCTGTCTTGTTCTCAGCCATGTAGATATGGCCAAATGTACATTTTAAGTGCTGCGTTCACACAGCTATGTTCTTCAGATCAGTTGTTACCATGTAGTAGCTCAACTGCAAAAGGAATAGTTATCGATCAGTCAGGATTTTTTTTTTTCTTATTGGGTTCCTCTACCCTTAACAATTGTACCCAGCATTTTATTTCCACCCCAGGAATAGCTCAATCGGCTAAATTTCTACTTTTGTTTTATACTATGTTGTTTCCCTCTGACAGAAAATGGATCTGGACAACAAGAGTCAGAAAATACTCTTCTGCAAAAGGTGAACTGTTTGGATTATTGTATTTACAGGAAAAAAATGTGTATTTAATGTTAACATTTTCGTAGCATCAGCTCTGCTTTTTAAAAAAAATAAATGCTCACCCTGGGTGCTTGCATCTGAAAGTTTTATTTGCAAAGAGCTTGCTGAAGTTTGGCAAGCAGCTAGATGGCAACAGTGTTTCTTTGCGTATTGAGATTTCCTCTAGAAACGGTAAATCCAGATTAAATGGGAGAAATACACAAGCTGACATTTAGATGGTAACCATATTGTGTTGATGCTGCAAAAAACTTGCATGCACAAGGAGCACCCATCTCACACAAAAAAAACCCACCTCTGCAAGCACCCACTTCCTTAAGCGAAGAAGCTTTTATTCATGATGTGGAAGACATGTTAAAATAATAATAGGAATGTAGTTGTGCTACAGTTAGCAGTAACAATCATGGTTTAACACTTTTGAAACTTACTTTCTCCTTTTTTAAAAAACAAACAAACAGGACAAAGGAATATTGAGAAAGTCCTTGTGGCAAATAGAGGTGAAATAGCATGCCGAGTGATGCGGACTGCCAGAAAGATGGGAGTGAAATCTGTGGCCGTTTATAGTGATGCTGACCGGAATTCAATTCATGTAGCAATGGTAAAACACACATTCATTAAAACATGTGAAGGGCAACCCTGAAAACAATTGTGAAGAAGCGGAATTAAGTTGAACATGCAAAGCTGATTTAAACTGAGTCAGGTTGTTGTTCCATATGAAACTGGGTTGTCTGCTCTGCCTTCTCCCCTCCATGTGGCAGATTTGTTCCCCAGAGTTTGTAGACGTCAGCTTTCCAATTGTAAATTGAAGTGACATCTTTTCTTTTAAAAGAAAGGGACAACTGAACTTGGAGGAAACAGAAAATGCTTGTACAGTCATACCTTGGTTTTCAAACAACTTAGTTCTCAAACCTTTTGGCTCCTGAATGCCACAAACCTGGAAGTGAGTGTTCCAGTTTGCAAACTATTTTTGGAAGCCGAACATCCGATGGGGCTTCTGCAGCTTCCAATTGGCTGCAGGAGCTTCCTGCAGCCAATCAGAATCCGTGCTTTGGTTTCCGAACATTTTGGAAGTTGAATGGACTTCCAGAACGGATTCCGTTCAACTTCCAAGGTACGACTGTAGTAATTAATGCAAACATTTCCACATCTGGAAACTAATGACTCAGTCTTGCTTTATTTGTATCTAGCCTTATTCCAGTTCCCTGGAATATGTTGGAAAGCCAATATACAGATTTACTCTTAATTATATTGCAGACTCAAGTTAACGGCTCTTTCTTTTAAATTTTCAGACCTACACAGTTTCTTATGTATAAGTCTCTGTATACTCAGTGGAACTCAAAGTAGTCTATAAATTCTGATTCAATTGCGGTTCTGCTGTTTAAGGCCCCCCTCAAAGGTGTTTTGGAATGTAGCTCTAAAATTAGCTGTTCTGCAATTGTCTGAAATGTAGCCAAATAATAATGTAAACACAGGTCCCATTATTTCATTACAGGCAGATGAAGCG